TAATTTGCTATGCTGTCTTACTCAGGGACTTACGTGCAGCAAAATCTGACATTTTTATCTAGACCATATTATGTAAAGTAATGAGCTGGGAGACCAGGTTCATGTTATGGCTGTTGACAGCTGAAGTTTTTCAGTAAGCCATGCAGCAGCAGACGTTCCCAGCATTCTGCTGAGCCACTGCTGCAAGGGTGACAATGTGTAACAGTGGAGGTTGGAAAGATAAAATTGAAGTTGACATGAAAAGCGTGTGACAAAGGAGCCCTATAACTGGGGTACCTCTAGCTGGGAAATCTGTGAGAAAGTTGTTCAGCATTCTTTTCATTGAAGATTAAGTAGATGAACACTTCTCAAAATTTCCAGTGGAAGGCTTGTGGTGAACAGGAACCATTGCAAGTCTGCATGGTTTTAAAATTTACTGTACATTCTAATTCAGTTTAGATCTATTTCTACTGCTTTGTGCTTTTTGTGCCCTTGAAATGCAAGGCTAATAAACAGGGCATGATCTCTTGCCGGTACCTTTGTAGTGTAAAATGCACTAAATTGTTGTTGCCCAATACCTATGATAATGTGATAGCTGCAATTAGAAACACAGAGATTGTTCTTGTTGAGAGGCCCTGAATCAATAAGTGGTGTTGACTTTATAGTGAGTTCAGCAAGCTATGTTGGAGCCAAGAAACATGCAGCAAAGTGAAGCAGCGTCAGCATTAGTTATGTCCAGTGCTATTTGCAGCTTTTCTAGATCATCACTTTACTTAGAAACTTATGAGAATACAGGCCAGAGCACAGGAGTTATGTGCTCATTGTGACCTAGCCAGCTAAATTAACATGGCTGCATTTCCTACAGCATGGAGCTCCTGAAAGCTCTCTGTTAAGCATAATGTGTTACAATAATCCATTTTAGGCTGACAAAAACTTCTATTCTTCTGCCAAGATGTCTACTGAATTGAAAATCATCATTCCTAAGGCAGGGGTCACAAGTGGCACTGCAAGCCATACAAAAGCATAATTATTTGTGCTAGTGTAATGAGGGTGATGAAAGTAGAACTTACTGCCAAAAAGCTTTTTACGTGTTGTCTGTACTGTTCTGAGTAGGAGCGACTTCTGATTCTGCATTGGCTCTCCAAAGCCTGCCCTTTCTTCAGCTGTTGTTTTAGGCCTTTGAGAAGCTTATTTTAAGAGGACGAGAAAATTCTTATCTTCAAATGGATTCTGTTGATTTCTGTCTCTGAATCTATTTTAGTTCAGATTAATATCTTCTTCAGGTCCTGTGATAAAGCTTGGAAATAATAGAAAAAACTCAGTAAGGGCCTAATTGGTTTCCACTGATTCGTTCAAAGAACACATTTAAAAATCATGAAATAAAAGAAAAAAAGGAGAACAAGAGAGCAAGGGGAGTCTTTGGAACATATATTGCCCATTTTACCTGGTTGCCGGGGCATTTTCATGGTACATATATAATAGCAAGGTAATTGTTGGTGAAGAACTTGGTGTGAAAGTAAATTCCTTAGCCTGCTTTCTACCTGCCAGTGCTGCAATTCGTGGTGCAATTTTAAGTTAACAGTGGTGTTCCCATTTGGGTTCTGAACAGCGGGTTAGAACTGAATGATATTATGAAGTTAAATGATATGCACTTCATTCTCTTTTTATCTCTTACTTCTCTATTCAACATCCATGTCACAGAGCACAAAGGCAGCTGACGTTGTTTGCAATTTGAATTTTTAGACATTTATAACTTCAGGAGTAACAGAGATCAGATGTTCCTTTATCCAAACAGGGAGCCAAATTGCCCATGATAATGCTAGAGATGACTCTTATAAATTAAACGGCAGCCCTGGAATGTACAGATGTGATGCAAATCAAGATTCATGTTGTACGTGCAATCAGTCTGTACATTGTCCCTGGAAAAAAATAAGAGAAGTAAAGCAAATTTCAACATAAATATTATCCCACTTTTCTTAAACTACCTCTTAGTGATTTTTTATCCTGCACTCAATTCTTATTCACTGTCAACTCACTATGCTTTCTTTTTCAGTAAAGAACAGTTGTGTTATGCAACGTTACTATGTAGATCCTGGCCTGGTTTTGTAGATCTATTTTGAGAAAATACATCTGAATAAAACTACATTTTTGGTGATGCTATGTCTTCCCCCAGCAGTTTACATTCCATCTCTATTTATATGACTCAGTTTTACACTTTATGTTTTTGGCAGATGGAGGAATGATTTTCTTCACATTTTTGTGAAGAGTTGAACAGCGAAGAGTTTTAGAGAAGCTATTTTAAAAATAACAGGCAGAGGAGTCTTTGATTTGTTTATCTCATGTGTGCATCACATATAAAATGCAACGTCCTTCCACTGCAGATGATAATAATTAGAGTTGTTCCAAATGGATTTATGCCAGCACAAAATCCTCTATCACGATCAGCTGTAACAGGAACCTCAGCTGGCAGTAGCAGTGAAAGCAATAAAGATTAAATGACTGTGTGATCTGTCCCTCCAAATTAAAACTGATGTGTGCTGGCAAAAAAATAAGAGAACTCATACCAATGTTACCTCTGACGCTTGTTTCTGTTCTGGTAAAATGAGAGAAAATGCTGTTGTCTGGAACTCCCGGTATGTTTCACCTGATTCAGATTCACCCCCATTAATGATTAGAATCTGAGTATCCATCCCAAATTACTAAAGCCCACAGGTGACTGTCAAATGCTTGAAGATAGGAAAAACCTTTTGAAGAATGTTGATTTTTGGAGGCATTTGGCAGTTAGATGCCAGTTGCTGTTTGCATGTATACTTTCAAAAAATCCCCTTGGAAATTGCATTAAATTATATGCTAGAAATTATTATTGGTCAGGGTAGAAAGTCTTCCATGAGCTACGGAAACTGCAAAATAATATTCATGGCAATGCTTCCATAGTATGGAATGTGATACTATTCTAGAGCAGGTTATTATCAAAGCTGTAATAACATCAAACCCTCCCCATATTCATGAACTATTGCTGAATTATGCAAAAAAACTTTATAGAAACAAACAAATGAGAAAAAAAACAATGCAATGTGGATTTGAAAAGTATTTTATTGTATAATGTCAACTGTTTGAATACAGTACAAATGAGCCTATGTTTCTTTCAGATGATTCAGTTTATTGTCTCACAGTGGCCTATATGACACTATTCTAAAATCCAAATTCTTTCCCACAGCTTATATGAACCTCTAGAAATGTACATGAATTGTTTTTATGCTTTAGAGTTGTCCAGACATCATCTTTTGAATTCAGAAACACAGGAAAAATTCTGTTTTGTAGGTCAGAGTCTGCAAAAAAGCACAGCTGTTAACCATGACCTTGGGGATGCTTTGCAGCTGCGGTTGTGTCGCAACATCTTTGTAACACGTTGCACTTTGTGAAAAGACACGGCTCGTTCTCTGGATTTATATCACTTTCCTTGTCTTTATTACTGACAATTAAATCTTGAAAGTCAATCCAGATGAAGTGCTAATTCTCTCCCAGTCATTCTGAAAACATAGGACAACTAAAAGGCAAAAGCTTTGCAAACACACAGGGAGCTACACGAAGTTTTGTTAGCAGCTTTAATATAAACATAAACGGTATGTGTCAGATTTGTGCACATCAGTTTGGACACTTTTGCAGCAAGGTTCCCTGACTCAGTCATTTTCTTTGATGTTGAAAGATAAAAGCTTCTGTGTAAGTAGACATCTGATGCCATGCTCTTGACCGTGGTTAGACATTCCAGGGATAATAGTGTGCCAGATAGCAAGGCTAGTGAAAAAAAGCCAAATCCAAGTAAGAAGTATCATCAGGTAAATGTAAGCTCTGGCTGCAGGGCAGAATCAATTAATTTGGACCTCACTCAGGTCACAAAGCAAACACCTCTCTTCATAAGAAAACTAATATGACCTGTTAGCAGCAACATATACTGAAGCCAATAGCTAGCTGCCCCAGCAGCACATCAGGAGGCTAAGCCCATGCGGAGTTGTTTGTTCAAGTTCAGGGAGGCTCACACTGAGGTGTAACAGCTGATGCTATTTGTCTGCTGCATGGGAAGGGCTAGCCTCTGAAAGATCATGCAAAGAACCCCCAGTCAGTGGAACAATCTCTTTAAATAGCTAGACTCAGCTAAGGGGAGTGGAAAGAGAAGGAACTTGTGTTGTATTGACTGTGAGAACTGAGCTTATGCAAGAATTTAAAGATAATGTATCCTTTATAGAGGAATTTATAAAGCATATGCAATCAGCCTAATTTATTTGCTAAGGCATGACTGATGTTTAAATTCATGAATAGTAAATTGGTAAAAGTCAGGGTAACACATTAATTATAACACAGGACTTGAATACTGTGGCGGTGCTGCAGGCCACAGTAGCCCACAGCTGGAGTCTTTCAGAACTCTTTTGGACAGTCTTGCCAGGCTTCTTTGAAATTCCCAAAGCCACTGAAAGGTATTCACAGGCTTGGGAGTAGATAACAAAATTACATTGCTCCCAAAAAAGGAAAACAAAGAAATGAGAAACAAGATGCAAACAACAAAAACACACATTTTCTCATTGGCTTTCATACAGGCCTTCAAACCTGGAGATGTTTGAAGAGTAAGAGTACTGAAAAGAGTACTTGGAGAGTAAGAAACTGAACATTACAGGTTTCAATTCACCAGCATGGACAAAAACCTAACAGACTAAAGATATTATTTAGAGGTCTGCTTCTGCTAAAGCTGACAAGAGTAACAGGTTGAAGATGAGCCATAACATCAAAATACGCCTTTCCAATGCCAGCTGCTGTAATAGGGTATTCATAAGAGCAGGAATTCCTTAAAAGAACTGCCTGCTGAAGAACAGGACAGAGTATTCCTGATTCATTTCATTCCAGAACTGCAATACACATATCTGCATAGATCACTTGCAGTCTGTAATTAATGTTTTATACAGTGAAAAAAGGGATCACTATAAAAATACTGCTCTGTCATTCTTTATCCATACTATGAAAAAGCACAGTTTATTATAACAGGAAATAATACTTTATTATAAAATCTGCATGTAAACAAGTAACAAATTAATTGAATAACAGGTAATGGAAGTGCAAATTAACTTCATAAACTGATATCTGTTCCATATTTAACTATATATATATATATATATAAATATGTTTTCCTTCCATTCTAATGTGGTTCTATTTCCTCCCATCCCACATTTAAATTTAAAAAGATTTATCATTGCTTACTTTATACTAAAAAGAGTGTACGAGCCTGCGTACAAGTTTAAATTTTGCTCTGCAAACGAGGCAAGTCTGTGGTGACACTTATCATCCTTTCTTATCTTTGCATCTCTGGTATCCACAGGACAAGAGGATGTATGCAACATATATACATAGTGAAAATGTGGGCATGTCAAGCCACTTAATTAAAGTTAGTTCATTTACTTGTATATATTGAAACAAACCATTCATCAATGAAGCCAACATTGTAAGGTAACTTCCAGACTTGCTTGTGCACCTTAAGGCAGTAATGAGTCTCAATTGAAAAGTCATTGTTTTATCACCATGAGGGTCATCCATGTACTTCTCAACAGCCAAATGCTTGTTCACCTCCAACATGGCAACATCTGACCTTGCTGGAAGCTTCTAAAGCACAGATAAGTCATGGCAAGACTTAGATTTTGCTTTGAAAGCCATCTTCTTGTTATTCTTTGCCACAATTCTCCCAAGAAATCGCTTTGCCTTTTTGCCTATGCTTTCTCTTCTTTTTGTGTTGGCCATTCTCCTGGCGTTGTCTTCTTTACTGTCTTTGCGAAGTCTGATTTGCCGAACAATACCTTCAAACAGGTCCTTGACATTATGATGAAGAGCAGCTGAGGTCTCAATGAACTTGCAGTCAAACACAACAGCACAGGCCCGTCCCTCTGAATGGAAAGAAAAGAAGGGAGATGAGTGGAGACTGACATTTTCTCTTCATATGTTCTAGCAGGAAAAAAATGGGTTAGCTTAAAAAGAAAGTGTCTTCAACACCAAAGAGCTTTATTACACAGCAATAAATCATATTTGCAGTCCTGGTTTTGTCCCCTTACTTTTCACTCTTTTGTTGTGGTGTGTTCAGAAATCTCACTTGACCAGCAATGCTGACTGTAAGGCAAAAATAGCCCTATAGGTAGACCATTCCACTATCATTTAAGATCTGTAGCTGATTTAAGGGAGGGACTTGATGCATGTTTGCTGTTCAATGGGAGAGACAGTGAGGTACAGAAAGAAGAGCTAGTTGCTGCTTCTTGTGGAAGTTATTGAGCAATCAACACCTCAGCCTTGCTGTAAGAAGTGAGAGTCTTCCACATCAGGCACAGATGAAGCTGATGCAGGTCAAAAGGTCAGGTTGATATATAAATTACAGCAGAGACCATAATGTTGCCAACTAATGGATTTGATTAGGACGGCATTCAAAATAGACAATGCTGTGTCCCCAGTGTTCCAGGGGTAAACATGTAACCCTGGAACATTGCTGCATAGCAAGTTTCCATGTCCACCTCGTGGCCAGTAATGACAAAGCTGCCAGCCTGAGTAAAACAATGTCACTTCTAGGAGAGGTGAACTATGCACTGCCACCAGCCTGCAAAGAATGAGAATCTCCTGATGAACTCCAGTCAATTCCCTGGGCAGGCATTTAACACAAGTATGCCAGAACCAGACAGCAAGAAATGGTTCTTCAGCACCAAGACCACTATTCTTCCCAGGGGAAGGAAAAATAAATTTTAAATACATGAAATCAATACTTGGCAGTTGTTACTGTACTCAGTTGCTGAAATGCACAATGGAACAGAAAATTCTCACTGACCACAGCTGTAGATGACATACAAAAAGCCTGTACGAGCCTAGTGTCTCCACCTCACCTCAAACGTGATGGAATCACTTCTAGAGGACAGGGCTGTACTGTTACTGTGGGATCACCATCAAAGACTGCCTGGCTTCTATGGCGTGGCACTCCTGTCCCTTATGTAGGCTATCAAATCTTGAGACTAGCAACTGTGCAGTAAAACTCCACAGCTTCAGCCTTGTAGCTCTGAAGCTGTGTGCTTCCTGTACTGCAGTTCAGAGCCCAGCTCTACGTATGAGTCTTCCCTCACTGTTTTCCATGGTCCCCAGTGTGAACCAGCTGGCTTGATTTCTCTGGTGTGCCTCCAGTCATACATTTTTCTACATCAAACCGGGACCAGCTCTGTTGATTACGATCCTCTGCTGCCTTTGCTAGTAATAATTTAGACTTTCTTATATAAATGAATAGTTTCTTACCATCGACTGAGACTTCCCGAGACCTGACCAGGTCACTCTTATTGCCCACAAGAATAATAGGAATGTCTTCTGTTTGTCTTGCTCTTCTTAGTTGGATCCTTAGTTCGGAGGCTTTTTCAAAACTAACTTTGTCTGTCACTGAATAGACAATGATGTAAGCATCTCCCATCTTCATGCAGTGGTTCTGGAGCCATTGGCTGTCATCCTAAAACAAAAGGAGGCAAATAGATTTACTGCATTGAAAAAGATATTTGACACTGTCTAGTTAACGATTTAAGTATTGAGAACACCTAAAAGATACTTTTGTTAGCTTTATCTATTTACAAACAGCAAAAGTAAACCAGTCTACAAGAAGTTTTCTTAAAATCTTATTGTTTCTAGAAATAATACCAGGTCTGCACCAATCGGATCATCAGTCTCTCATTTTACACGAATTCCCCAGGGCTGCCAATGTAAGCTTTATTCAAAGCACTGAGGGATTCGCAGCCCAAGCCTAGCCTAGCTTCTGAACTGCTTATCTAGCTACGAGAAATAATTGCAGGGCAGAATAAAGGCAGCATGATTTCCTTTCAATGCTGCGCATCCGACAATAAGTAGCCAGACAGAGCTGTTCCATCGCTACATGTTTTTGGAATAAACCGCCGACTGCTCCATAAAGAAAAAGTATCTTCGAGCTGCAAGTACCTGTTCCCAGATATCGAACACCACGAGAGACGCTTCTTCTCCATCGACCATAATCGATCTGTCGTACGTGTTTCCTGGAGGAAAGACAGTGCTCGTTAAAGCGCCGTCACCCCGTGCCCGGCCGCCCACCGCGCCCGTGCCGCTCCGGACTGGGAGCCTCGCACCGCCCGCGCCCTCACCGGCTTCCTCCGCCTCCGCGCCGTCCTCTACGCCGCCGAAGATGCGGGCCAGGCTGGTCTTGCCGACGCCGTGTTCGCCCAGCAGGATCACCTTGTAGAGGCTGCCGTCCGAGTCGCTGCCCGAGGAGATGACGGAGTCGGAGGAGTCGGAGGCCCAGCTCTCCCGGTGCGCTTCGCCGGGGCTGTACGAGGTGCAGCGCACCAGGCCCGACAGCTCGTCCTGCGGCAGGGCGGCCCGCAGGTCCCGCTCGTCCACCGGCATGCTGCGCCGGTGCAGGTGCTGGTGTGCGGAGAAAGGCATGCTGCCGCGCCGCTTGTCCAGGTAGCGCAGCTTGTCTCCGCGGTTCAGAGTCATGGGGACGCCGGGCTGCGAACGTGGAGGAAAGAAGAGCCGTCAGAGCCCCGCGCTCCGGTCCCGCGCCGCCGAGGAGCGCCGCCGGATCCCGCTCGCCTTACCTCGCCGCTCGGAGGGAGGCCGGGAGGGATTCCCCGCGAATGCCGCTGCCGTCGCCGCCTCCCCTCTATTTATGGCTGTGCCGCCCGGCCCTCCCCGCCGTGACGCGCGCCGCGCGGCTGCCTGCCGGCGCCCGTGGGCTGCCGCGTCCGCCCACGGAGCCTCAGCGCGCGGCGAAGCGGCACGGCGCGGCGGGGGCGGGGAGCCCGGCGCGGGGAGCCCCAGCGAGGGCAGGCCCCCCCTCGCGCCCCCTCCTCCCTAGGAGGAGCCGCCGGTGCCCTCCGCGACGGGAAGGGAGGGGAACCCCGCGTCGGAGGGAACCCCGGCCGTGCCCGGCCCCGCCCGGGCTTTGCTTTCCCGAGGCTGCGCCGAGGGAAAACTGAACACGGGGCTGGCGATGTACGCGGGCAGGTCTCCTCGGCTCGTGGTGCCCTATGCCGTGGCTCAGGAGCCGTATTGTCTACAGTATTGTTAGGAAGAACGTTTGCAAGCGTGCAAAATTGTCATAGCTTCGTGTTTGGATTACTTAAATGTTCAGGAGAGGGTGAGGGGAGAAGCCCCCGTGCTAGATGCTGTGACGGCACGATACAAACGCTTGCTGCGTGCCGCGTTAACGGTTTCAGAAGCTGATTTAAAACATAAAGGTCAAATTCTTCCCTCGATTTCACCTGAGCAGCAAAAGTGAGGCTGTGAAGGTTTTATCTTAAGTAGCACAGTCATTACCGTGTGATCAAGTGAGGAAAGGGCCGAGCAGATAGCTACGCTGGCGTGCTGAATGGCTCACCGCAGCACCGTGCACACAGTTTATTGTTTTCTTAGCAACCGCGACGCGGTGGACATCTTACAGCCAAAATAGCCCTGGCTCCAGCTCCCAGAAGATTACAGCCTGGTCAGTGCGGGAAAATCCCTGTGACTTGGTGTAGGGACCGTTGCCATCAGATTAGTGAATGCTTAAGGTAATAAACCAGCTGCTGAAATAAGGTTAAAGAAGGCAAGGAGATAGGGAGCTGATGGAAAGTAATAAATGGACGTAGAAATCAGGTAAAGGAAAGAAGGTCTCTGGGCTGAGCTGAGCAGTTGCATGGAAAGTAAAATACTACACAGCAACTGAGAAACATCTTTTCCTTATAATGTCCACTTTGTGAGGCTACTCAACTGCGACAAGAGAAACACATAACTGCTCTAAAGGGTCTGGCTCCAGGAAATAGATGTTTTTTTTCCTATGAAAGCGAGTGAATGTTTTCTTATTTTCAGGAGCTAATTATAACTCCAGTCCATGCTCTTGGGATGGCTTTGACCCCTTTGCCCTGATAACTGCAGTTTAAAGTGTGAATGTGGCAGTTGAAGATCACGGAGTGCTTGCAGCGCTCTCAGCCTGTCCCTCAGAACAGCACCGAAATAGCCGCGTCAGTTCCAATCGTCGGTCTGGTTGTTAGAAGTGGTGAGTGCTTCAGTGAAATGAACAGAACACATTGCCGTGGTTTACATTTTAAATCATATTTAAACAAATTAGCAATAGCATTTGAAATGCATGTTGGTTACTTAATGTGGATAATCTGAAATCTAGCAAACCGCATCAATTAATCTGTGTTTTTACGCAGCCAAGTGGGCAAATATACTTCCAGAAATGTTTTTTCTTCAGTTAACTTTTAAAAAATTGAATATTTCTGCCAAAAATTCTCACCTGAAAATACTGAGTGGTTTTATGAATTTTTTGGACCAGTCCGTCCTGCTGGCTTCACTGTGTGTCAGGGCCAAATTTTAAAAGCTGGAATATAAAGTGGGGATATTTTATTTCTTTTCTGTGTGTAAGAAGGAAAATCTGGGGGGCATCAGAACTAAAGATACTGTGCTGCTTCTGTGGCATGTGTAGCATTACTGATCGAAACCTAGCTAAGAAACGAGAGCCATTTTTTATTCCAACTCTTTTGATGAATATCGTGAATGTTTTAATGATGTAAATGCAAGATAGAGCCCTCACAACCAAAACTAAAAATAAAACCAACAAAACAACAAAAAGAACAAGAAAGGCATATGAAAATGCTAAATAAAGACTTTAAAAGAACAGCATTTCAGCAGGAAGAGAGTCTGAAAATAGAAAATACCTTACAAAAGTTCAGGACCACGTGGCAAATGTTTTGTTTTGTGCCAGCAGCCAGGTACAAGGAATGAATTAATGGTTACAGAATACCATCACAGTTACAGGATACTACTGGGATCTGGCACTGGGTTCTGTGAATCATCCTTCAGCAGAAAGTGAGATGGCCTTGGATTAGGTCCCTGAGGCTTCACTTATTCCTAGAGGGATGACTGCAAGTCATCTGGAGGAGTGCGGTGCCAAGGCGGTTAGGGCTGTTCTCACTGCGTAGAACCAGAGAGGGAGGGATCACAGGGGTCACGTAGCTGCTTTATCTCCCTTGATCCTAATAGATCCAGCTATTTTGTGAAGTTGGAAGGAATTAACAGATAATTCAGGTTCATCACTTGAGACATGTAACATGCTCCTTCACACAGCATGTAATTCTGTTTGTTATTCGCTATTGCTATGTACGTATATTCCTGCACACGGTACTGCAGCACGTAATGATTTTGGTGGGATGCATCTGAGACCACACAGACCCAAGATGCTGATTTAAATTTCTTTGGTGGACTTTCAGACCCTCTCCTTTATCACTTGCCCTCCATTTCCACTAACACAAGATTCTACTTCTAACAAATAGTATCTAATTTATTTTTATGTAAAAGAAATCCTAAAGTCTTGTTTTTCTATTTTTATTTTCCACTGAACTAGCTGCTACTGGCCTAAGATTTGCTTTAATTAAAGAGTGCTTCTGTCACATACTGTACTTCATATTTTTAGTAAGCCTAGTGTTCATTATATATTGAAATGGAAACAGGAAATTTTACATAGAGCCAGGCCTGGAGTCTATCAGTGCTGAAGGTGAAGGTCTGCTCCAGCCTGCATGGTAGATTGGAAGTACTCCGAATTGAGGTTATCACTGTAGCAGTGCTACCATCTGTGGTTCATGAGTCCCAGGTGGCTCTTGAGCCCTTCAGTGTTTATTCCCTGCAGCCACTTCATAGCGAGCAGCAGAGCTGCAGTCAAGGACCACTGTCTATCCACGTCCTCAGTGTGTGAGGAGGGAATAAGTTTCAATGAAAGCAACAACCAAATTCTGCTGAGGCCAGAAGCACTGGGTTATCCTTGGTGCCAGGCACCCAGTTTAATTCCATTCTAACTACCAGAGTGTTGTGGGATCCTGGAGGAACCACTGGGGTCTCTGATTTTTGAATCAATCCAAAATATTCACTTTGTATGTACGCTCTCTAAAAACAGATAACATTTTGCTTCGTTTAGTTTCCCTTCATCCTTGTACAATTTTCATTTTTATTATTTCAATTGCCCTTTATTTAAGGTGCCTTTTCTTGTTTACTGTTGTTAACTGTCCAGTCTCTTTGTATCCCTCTCCCACGCCTCTCCTCTTTCCTTTCTCCTCATTCTTTCTTCTTCTTCCTTTCCTTTTTTTCCCCATTGATTCTGTAGCTTTTGAGAAGCATTTTTGACTGCACCCCCTGCAAAGTCGTGCTTGTCATTTAGACAAAATGCACTCTGCATCTAGCATAGCAAAAAGAAACACCAAGTGCAAGCTTTATTATCACAGTAACAAATAACTAGAACTATAGGATCAAACTGCATGTTTTACATCTTCCATATGATGAAAAGTACTGAGGCCAAGAGAGTGCACTAAAAACGCACACTAAAAATGCTTTCCATTCAGATTTTCAGGTGGAAAAGCAGAATTTTGGAGGAAGAATAAACTGTGATTCTACCTCATCAGTGTTTATTCAAGGTTAAATGCCATGTTATAAACTGCATTTATAATTTTTACATCAAATGATTATTTCCACTGAATTCTAGTTTTTGTTTTAGTTGTTGTCTTACATTGGAATAGTTTCCCACTTGTTATAAATAATAGAAGTATTCTGAAAAGCCCGAAGACCGGATAAGCAGAGTGAGGCTTGGGAAAGTATTGTTCTCAGTTTGGCTCTTTGCTGGAAGCTGTGTGTTTCTCTTCTTCTTACTTTTCAAGTCATCTGCACTGCCTCAAGTCTAATTAATCAGCCATTATGTGGGTGAAGTTATTTCTACACAAACTGCAGAGATATCCACAAAGGTCTGTTCTTGCCAAGTTACAGGAAGCATTACTCCTGCAGAAGCCTGAGTCTGGCTACCTCCCAAATACCTAGATTAAAAAAGAAATAGCAGCTGTTATTATTATTTTAATTACAGAACTGAGAGACTTAGGCCAGTGGGAGAAGAGACAGAAGCAGTGGTAGGAAATGTGGTTTGCATTACTTTTTTAACATAAGCAAGATAAAAACAGCTACAGGGAAATGAAGAAAATACTTTTTCTTTATACTACTCTTTGTACAATAGTGCACACATGGCCTAATTTTTTTTTCTCTGCACATCCCTGTGATTTTACACACACTAATATTGTGTGCTGAACAGATACACACAAGTGGCTGTTTGTGTGTTGTACGAACGTAAGTATTAGGCCTTTCATGTAGCATATGGTATATTGCATTACCTTGCCGTTAATCTGCAGTGGTGCAAAAGTAGACTGCAGTTTGAACTGTACAAATGGTTGTATCAACAGTGGAGCTTTCAGTCTTAGCGTTGATTCCTTTGTCTGCAAGCCCAATGAATGCTGCATCTGTACTGAACCTGCATTTACACATTCCCAAAGCAGGGCCTTCCCTTCGGCCAAGGAGCCGTGCTTATTCTCATAATTTCTCTTGCATTTAACACAGCTGATGTCTTTTGCTGGGTAGAGGTAGCCATGTGCTGGGGCTGCAACAGTGAGATGTGAGAAATGCAAGCTTTGGAGTCAGTGGAAAACAGCATAGTGTAGAGAAAGTAAAATTAGAGAGTAAAATTAATCCCAGCTTGGTTCCTGTAGCAGAAATGCTGAGTCACAGCCTGAAGCAGTGACTGAGCACCTGGTGGGAAGGCAGAGCCAACCCAGGGGAGCTCCGTGCATGCAGTGCACCTGAGCGACTGGAAGGGATGGAGCCAGGATGCAGCCCTTCCCAGCCCTCATAGAAGAGTTGGCAGTGGGGGTGAGGGTTTCTTGCTGGAGATCCCTGCCTGAGGCCTTCTGAAGGTAAGCAGATTCTTTCCTTTGTTTTCTGTGCCCGCTGCTGAGGAAGTCCTCACTTGCTGCAGCCCAGGACCTTGCTGCTCTGCTGCTATTGCTGAGCTTTCTGTCCTGTTACAGTTCCTTTCACAGTTACTTAGTTTCCTTCCAGCTCCAGACCAGAAATTCTAAAGCTTGCCCATCAGTGCTACAAAAAAATATGGTATTGTTTGTATTTTTAAATGTAGAAGCATAGAATGGATGAACTTTAAATCTGTTCCTTTTGAAGTAAATACCTCTGTCTTTCTTAAATGAAAGAGTGTAAAAAATAACTTGGGATAGGACTGATTGGAAACGTGCTTTGTGTCCCGGCTGTCCTGAATTTCTCACTGCTTTGAGTAATCTCAAAAGCTTCCAGTACTGTTTAATCCTCATGACAGCTGAGCCAGGTGAATCACCCGTCTGAAAAAAAAAGTTGCACAAGTGTTGTATCTAATTTCATTTTTCCCTATACAGTTCATAGCCACTTTTTGACAAAGTGCACCACAGTACCAAGAAATTACCCTGTTACAATATACTGGGGAAGAGATGGGCCGTCCGTCCCTGGCTGTAATGCTAAATATCTTGTTACAATTCCTGTGGGATGTATACTCTTCAGTGTGGATTTCAGAGACCCCTTTCACAAAATACCTAGAAGTCTGATGCTGTGAAAAAGCTTCTGAATTTACACATTGCAACAGAAGCTGGTTTAAAGAGCGTGCAAAGTAAATGGCTGGTTGTCCTACTGAGAGGTACATAGTGGTAAGGAAGCAATTTGCAATGTAAGATTTATCATTTACCAGCAGTAGCTCTTGGCAAGGGGAATGAATCTATTTACAATAACAAATTAAAGGAGTTGTACTGGGTCAGACTCAACTTACATCCAGTTTCCAGCAGTCAGCAGCTGATATCTGAAGAACTGGCAGTAAGGACATGATAAGCAGTTAAAACTGCACCCGTATGCCTGCCATGTATTCCCACTGCTCAGAGGCTGCTGATGCATTTTTTTTTTTTCTATATGTTTTTCTAATTGCTTTTAAGCCGTGTAGAATTTTTATAACCTGCAACACCCCCCTGTTACTGTATTGTAAAGCAAGAGTGTAATTTTTTTCTGCATACGCATAATGATTTTATATTTTCCTTCAGAAATTGCCTCTCAGTTGAGACATCTCATGTATTCAGTCACTCGTGTAAACCTTTTGCTTAATTACTCTTCTCTGAATATTTCCTACTTCCAATACATCTTTTTAGAAGTGAGGGGACCAGAAATGCAGATTATTCAAATTGCAGGTCACTGTGGATTTATGAGTTGGGAAGAGATACTTTCTAATTTTGTTTAGACCTGAAAATTCCTAGCATCTACTTACTCTTTTTCAATTAAGCATTAAGTAACATTTTCACAGACCTACTGTAGTTCTCTTTTGTTGAGGAACTAATATTTAATAGCCAGGAAATTGGGTAGAAAACAGCCTAAAGCTGCCCATGGCAACCCACAGAACCCATTTATTCAATATGCCCGCAGAACAAGGTCTTCAAAAGTTGCTTGTTGGCAGGCATCTTCCCCTTAGTACTGCAGAAAAGTCACAGAAACTTGTAGAAGGAAAAGCATATTTGTAAGGGAAAACTTTTCTACAGCAAGAGATTACAGTGAGGGTGCCATGATCATGGCAGACTGCATCAGGGAATGAAGCATTAGTTACGTTCAGTACACTACAGAGGTATCAAGAAGACTTGGGGATATGGAGGCTTAAAATCTGGACTATATCTAAGTAATGAATAATCCCAAATAAAATCACTGTATTACAGATGCTTCCATGGATGTGGCTTCCATGGCAAAGAAAAGTGTCCTTGCAATGAAAATCCCGAAGTAGGAGCAGGCCTGTGGTCCTCTCTGGAAATAAACAACACACTTGCCATGCTGAGTCATGTAGATCTGTCACCAAAGAAAAGAGGTAAGGCAGAAATTTATAATGTTAGTGACAATGTGAAGTGAAACTTTAACTGTGCTGCCCTCTTCTGTGTATAAGATCAGGAAAAGGACATGAATTTTTAAATCTATATTTTCTTACACAGAAATATAGTTTTGTGTCTGAATGTGCATTTTATAATGCTTAGAGTAGCTGCATCTTGTATGAGGCTTCTGGTAGGGACTGATGGTGACCAGTCGTAAAACACAGCTGCCCTTTTGCTTTAGGTAATGAAACCTGGTCTTGTTTACCATGTGGGGATAACTCAGTTTCTTTTTCACTTCAATGTGGAAAAAGCTTGAAGCCAAGGAAAAAAACTCTCACTCCTGGAGAAGACTTATGAATTTGAATTAGAAAGGCTTTACGCTTCTTTGTAACCTGGTGCAGAATGTATGGTTGTCTTCTCCTGTGGTGAGTGATCTCATAGAATCATTAATGTAAAATGTGTAGGAATTTCCATGTGAAAGATTCTATCATCTGTTCCAGGAGAAACCCAGAATTTGTATGGCTGGAATGCACTTCGGTATAACAACAGTAAAAGGCATTCTTTTAAGTGTCTCATTTTCTGCTTTGCCTCTGCTGCTATTTAGGATAATCCTATGAAGACCTCCAACAGGCTTATTGTAAAGATAAACTAGAATTGTATGGACTTTGTTATTCTCACTTGTCAAAATTCTTTCTAGTCTTACTCTTGGGAAAAACAGTAATAATAATAAATTTCATTGTATGTCATTTTCTCTCCAAAGGTGTAAAATGATCAGCCCTAACGAGAGTAAGTGAAATCAAAACTCCAGTGCTAAAATTCATTCAGTCCTGGCTAGTCCCGTATCAACCTATATCTAACTAAACCCAAATTGTTTTCAGTGAAGCAGATAAGATGAATGAAGAAAACCAATTTCTTACTACTCTCAGATGAACACCGTGGTAGCACAGCCAGTGAATACCATGTACTGGAATCTTTGGAGAGGCAGCAGCAAGCTGTCTTGCTGGTCATGCTGGGAAAATGCCTGAGAATTATTGCTTATGCCCTCAATCTCAGTCTCATGCCTGGAGGCAGAGTTCCCTGTTAGAGTTGTCTTCGACAGACATATTACAATAAAAATCTTTGGGCCTTAGGCATTTTAACAGGCCGGTCTTAATTTTCCAAATAATCAAAGCTACCTATATTCAAAGAAGAACTTGGTGATCAACCCTTTGCTAATGAAATTCAGCAGTCTCTGCCTTTCATGGCATTTTTCCTGTTTCACAGTTTTGGAAATGAGTGCAGAATCAGGCCTTGACAGCCTTTTCCCTTCTCCAAGCTTACTCATAGCAGTAATTAGCATTAACCAAGCAATTGGCTCCTTGGCATCAGAGGTTTCACGTCAAAAGCAGCAAGTCTGTGATTTCACTGCCTGCTCACTCATCCAAGGCTATGAGGTGGAAATGATCTTTATTCAACAATTAATTAAAAAAACAAAAACAAAAAAAACCCACCATGATGAGTATAGTAAACAGCATTTCTTCAAAGGCTCTTCACATTCACTCTACCCTCTGCATAATCCTTCTTTCATAATCTTTACCAAAGAAAGGGCTATATATTTGCATTACTCCCCTGCTCAAGCACATCAGCACCACCAGAATAATTTAGATGAACTACAGCCTTCTAAGGTAACAGCAGCATGTAGCTAGGCAACCAAAAAGAATATAGTATTTTTCAGGAAGGAGGGCTTTCCTAGATGATCTCATACGGATGCAGTGCTCTTTCCCTTATAAGAAGAAAACTGCTCATTGGAAAAATGAGTCTATCATCCTGTCATCATCAAGTCATATCGATATATAGGCTTCTGTTGATGAACTGGCAAAGAAAATAACGATGCATTGTATGCTGTATCTATTTATTTCTCTATATTTGTTAAATATTTGTAATTTCATTTATGAAGGCTAAAAAACTGAAATGATTTTATGGCAGATTTCATTAACCACAATCCTAATTAGAATTGAATGCTTCAATAATTACTAAGTCAGCTGAAATAAATTGTGTGTCACTTCAGTAGGAATTGTCAGCACTGAAAAGGAGATTTTGCTAGTGGAGGAGGCACCTGGTTATGTGTCCTGTCTATGTAGTGACAGAATGGTTGTGAGTGGTGCACACTGGTTTTATGAGTCTGAAGGGGTTCAGGTAAGGGAAAATAAAAAAAATTGATCAGGACTAACAGGGGCAGCACAGGCACTATTTGCCTTCGTACCCCAAGCAGACAGGCAGGACGAGCACCTCCCCATCTGACAGACGCAGTCACCTTCTGCTGGGTGAGGACAAAGTGGGAACTCTGGATAAAGACGTTTGCCCGATACTCAGTAGCGCTTGTGCTGGTAGGATCGCAGGACAGCCGCTGACCCCCGTGAAATCATAGCACCATCTGCTGGGGTAATGCACACCGCGCATCGTTACAACCCGTGATCACATCTGAAGCTGTAAGCTGGTATTACTTTCAGCCATCCCATTTCTCTGTGTATCCTTTTCTGCATCACGCTGAGAATTTGTCTGTACCTTAACTTTATTTGGCTTGCAGAGCTGCCAGACCTTGTTTCACAGTCTGAGTGCAGCGATGCAGTCTGTGGCTGGGCCACATCTCACACAGCAGTGCCAGGAGACCCAGCCAGGAAAACATCTTCCGTGCAGCAGGGCAGTGCCTCTCCAGTTGTCCCTGTTTGTGGCAGCACAGGATCTGTGCATTGCTGCTTCTGTGGTACAGACCTGAATGCAGCTGATCAGACATTACATCAGTCTTGGCAGCTTTCACACATGTACTTCCTCTCTTTGGCATGTTACTGTATTTGTATATTCCAGAGTCTGTTCTGTGGGATTGTTTCCATTCTCTCTAACTTGACCGAGCCACAATTCATACTGTGTTGTCTTTTTCATCTTATCTTTCTTTGTGCTGAAACAGGAGTTGTTCCATTAGGCATGCAAAAAAAAAAAACCAACAACAAAAAAAACACCCCAATATGTTTGCAGTCAGTAAAAGGCCGAAGCAGCTTTGAAGAGGATGAAGACCACAATATTCATAACAAAGTCCCTGCAGTTTTAAAGGTTCAATAGAACATATTGCGAGCATTGAACTTGTATGATACATAGCTGATGTGTACAGATTAAAGCTAATACAATGTTTACTTTTCATTTGTAAAATTAAACAACTCAAATTTTTGCTAGGAATGGCCCAATATTCTTGTTACTAACAATAACAACTATACAAATATGACGAGGCTTCATCGCTTATATGCTTATAAAACAGGAGGGGAAAAAAAAAAGTCTGTTGGCATTAACCAATTTTTTCATGCAAGCATTGCAAACTACAGGGTTGATTTATTTGTTACTTTGCAGAAGTGACGAAAACAAATACCGCTGCTTAGGCACCTTCACAATCCTCAGACAGATCATGTGCCAGCTCTTCCATGAGCAAAATATAGAGAACTGAAGCTGCTGGGCATCCTGGTGTTAAGCAAACTGCTGACATTGTACTGAGGTTATTTTGGTCAAAATCATGTGAGAGGCATCTGATGGGGACTCAGATGAGATTAATTGGGTAGATTAAAGAAAAAAAAAAGCTACAATAAAACATCATCCCAAGAAAAATCAAAATGGAGAGAACCACATACAGACAAGAGAGCTTGGCAATCCTGGAAGACTTGCTGGTCTCTGAGGTTTTCCTGCTAGGCTGTGTAGGCACGACTGCTGTCCACACTCACTGGCTGTTGTGCTCATGATTTTGGAAAGGAGTGCATCTCCGTTGGTCAAATTAAAGCATTAATTCTACATAGGTAATTGTTGTTGTCTCTTCTCTCTTGTTGCTTTTTGTGGGGAATGGACTTGGACTTAATGACAGTGAGACAACAAAGACTTTCCTGTTTCCTGCTGCAATGTGAGGGAACTATGGGATGGATTGTGTAATGACCCAGAAAGACAGGGCGGAGGGAAAACAAATCCAGGGTAGCACAGTGAGGTGTAGTATGGCCCTGCTATTTTCTTCTCTTTTTCTTATGCCTTCCCAAAACTCTAAGATAGCAGCTGCTCTCCACTGCCATGTTACATTTATTCCACTGACTTGATGGAAATTAACTTTTGTCCTGCTCTCTCCTTCTAGCCCTGAGTGAGAGCTGAACTAATGGCAGGATTCAGAGACTTGTGAAGAGCACAGCCTTGTCAACTGAAACTTGTGTGTGCTGCAACAACTCGTGAAAAGCACTGAAATCGAAGAAGCTACTTGCAAATTATGCTGCTGCTCTGATGCATTTGTACATCAAGGTGGGATAGCAGGGTCTCCAACGGTTCAACCAACCAGGATGTCCTTATGACTACAGACAGTGCTGTTCCTCTCGCCACAAAGTTAAGCGATGGAGGTAACCTGCCACAGGATGCAAAAGCTCCTTACAGGTAAAACATAAAAGAAATGTATGAACAGATGTTAAGAAATACGTAGAAAGTTTATAGAACTCAGTAGCATATATTCTGCAACTACTGAAACACTGAACAAAACGAGGGCTCTTTGCTTCTTGTGTTTTGTGAAAATGTTATTTTCAGCATTTTCCTGAATGAAAAAAAAGTCATATGTTTTCCATTAAACATTGCTGGTAAATGGTTGTGAAATATACCAGCAGATTTAAACACTCCAGTCATAGCTTCAATTTCCTTTCTTTTTCCTCCTCTTTTTTGGTATTTTCCATAGAAACATTTGAAAGATTTTGCTATATTAATTTTGTTTTAAGGAAAAAACTTGTGTGCTTGCTCAGTCTGTATTTATGCCAAACAGTGCATTTCATGAGGGGGGAAGAGTGGTACAGCTATCTGCTTGACAGGCTAGAGGGAAATGTTTTTAACAACTATAAAAACAACTACTGTAAAGCATGTTATAAATCAGTGCTCCCAAGGGAGATTCTTATCAAAGCACTTAGTTGTTACAAACCCATCAATCTTAAGTACAGTTGGAAAACTAAAATAACTTCTTTTTTAATTAACTGTTGCCAACGTGTAGCACACATCACTCCATGCAAGGAAACACAAGAAATATTGTCCACTGAAATGCCAAGCTCTTCTTGTCACTTCTTCCAGGAAGAGATCAGTAACATTTCTGGATACGAAACTGCTGAGCTGCTTTGTAGCCACCGATAGTGAATTTGGGAGTTTGAGTCTTCAGAAGTTGCAGATACTGGGCAGCAATGACAGCACGAGAGTAGCTAGAAAGAAGTCTGTTTCCTCCCAGGAAGTAGATGTATGCGTGCAGGCCCAAGCATGTGCAGAGCAGCAGAGCCTGAGCCACACAAACTGTGTTGGTCTGCTGGCTCAAACACAAGGCAGGTTACTCCAGCATGCAACACAGCCAGCGACCCTAGAGAGGTTTTGTCACAGTGTTTGTAGATTAAGAGGAATTAACGCCATTCAGTCCTCCTGGAGGACTCTTCTCAGAGCCTAGGAGTGTGAAACAGATGTCTGCTTCTGGCATTTTTCCTGGACTTGAATGCGACTGTATTCCATGCAGCTGCTCTAAAGAGCCATATTTTAATGAAATGTGTCCTATTACAAAGCACTGGAGAGGCTAATGTTAGGGGGCTTTTTTGAGGGGGGAGGAAATGGGGAAAGAGCAGTCTGTGAAGAAATACTTGTAACAAATTAATGTTTTCTTCTCCCACTTACTCTTCGTACATCAGGCCATAGATAGGGATCATTAAAGCTGGAAGATTTTTGCTGAAAGAGGCAGAACATCAGCATTCAGAAAGCACTCAAGCTGAGGGAGCCCCATACAGAAGGAACTGCGATCTTCAGCCCAGTAACAACGGTTTGTCCCTTCTGTTGTTTCTCTCACCTAATTAATGTAACATCCACATCATTTAAAGAAACATACCAGATCCAAAGGTATGGAATTAACCATTCTTAAGTAGCAGGAGTCAGACCTTTTGTTTGACACTGTAATAAAGTCCCTTTACTGAAAAGTCACCTCTGAAATATGTACTATGAACAACCTAACCACATACTGTTGCTTCTCTGAAAAAGTAAGCAGTGCAAAGTGCACCCATAGGATTACTGCGTAACATGGCTTGTAAGACAAGTGCTAACATCCAATAAATTATTTGTTACTATTATTATGTAGTGGTGAATGCTAAGAAGCAGATAAAATAAAGTATAATTTACTAATTCCTTCTCTGTTTCATACATAGGTTAAAGCACATCAAACATCTGTTTGCAGCCTACTCATCTTTCTATTACCCCCCATATTTGCATTCCTGTCTTCCACAAAATCTGGAAGGACAAGTTTCATTTTACTATTAAAAATAATAAAAAAAAATCAATATCAAGCATATTGCTTATGAGTTGCTTTCACATACTGCCAGAGCTGAAGTGGTGCAAAGGCTGGCAGTGTCAGGACTGATCAGTTCAGTGATTAGGCCTGAGAGACAAAGAGCATATTAGCAGGTGTGTCAATCTACTCCTTTATTAGCATTAATTTTACATAAATATTATTTTTATTTCCAGTTTCATTCAAACATCAAACCAAACGCTCATTATTTGAAGGATGCTAATCAAATAAGCAAATAAACGCTGCTGAAGAGTTGGCCTTCTACAGAAGCTCTGTGCATACTGGGTGAGTAATTTCTAAAATGAGTAGATTTGGATTTGCTGCTGTTCTGTTTTCTTGTATATAAGAACTTCACCATTTCACTTGGTTTACCACTGCCTTACTTTCCTGGCAACACAGCCTAGCCTGTTCCAGCAGGCTGTGGTGTCTACATAATGTCCTTCATAAGGTTTACTGTTTCTGAAATAGCATCTGAGATTATCCAATACAAAATACTGAAACGTAAAGCATCACTATCGCACATCTAACTAACAAACAAAAAAAAAACCCAACCAAGAACTCCATACTAATTACTCTGTAAATAACTGATAAACGTACTACATAGCTGATACATAATATGGTACGTCTGCACCAAAATACTTGTCAGAACTATTACAAGCTGTTATTTTTCCAGTATTAGAAACAACTCTTAAGAAAGTTCAAATTAATAATGGAATTCTATCTGAATGAATTTTTATGCCACTAATCCCTACAGTTCAAATGCCATGTTTCGCAGACCAGAAGCGCAGGCTAAATATCACTGCTAAACCTGTATATGTTTAAAGCAACATATAGTGAAATCACTATATGTTTGTGAAATCACTAAGTTTGACACAGCTGTCAAACTCTACCAGGAAAGGTTTTCAGCAGAGTAGCTGGATCACTTCAACTGAAAACTACCGAAGATTTCCTCCTGTCAGGAGGGAGGAAGGAAAACAGAAAACAAAGAAACAAAAACCTCCTCAAAGATACTGCATTTGATACAAGTGATGAGTAAGGAAAAGCAAGTCACATTTTATACATATCTAAAGAGCCCTCCATACTGGCTGTTTAGATTAACATAATAATAATGATAAATTAGATGATTTAAAATTGCTTACAGTTATTGCTGCAAATGTTTTACAATTTGGCACACAGGAATTTGTAGAAATCTTGATGTTTGAAGGAAAAACTGTGTTAGTCCAAAATAATCATATGAGTATAAAGATTTTAACTGCTACTTAACTTGGTATACTTGTGAAACCCAGTGCGCAAACTCCACTTCTAAAATGCAGTCTATAACTAGTCTTTAGACAGTAAGAAACCTGTTAAAAGCAAGTTCAACCAAATCTTTTTTAAAAGTTCAGAACACAAATCACACCAGTGCAATAATTAACAAATGGAAAAAGCCAATTTACATCACAGCTTTATAGCTACCAGCAAGCTAATTTTCTCCATGCTTTTTATTTTTTTGAAGAAGTAATGGAACACTTCTTTAAGGTAGTTTTATTTTGCTCATAGATACATGTAGCATTAGCAACACCACTTATATACAAAATTAATACAGCAGAATACTAATGGTTTCCTGATCAGGCAATTATGATCTAGCAGACAAACACTGATTTACCACTTCCAGTAAGTGAGAGTTTTCCAAAGCAGCTGCTACACGTTCTTTATCAGCAAGCTGTTTGTTAACTGCACAGAAAAAAATACCACAAGGAACTGGTCAAAATATTGGTACAAGAGGTCTTTTTAGAAGCACTTTACCGTGAGACTAATAGTCTCAGTGTTGCTGTGGTACTCAGCTAAAATAACTCCACAGATGCTAACTATATCACAAAGCTGTGGTCTAAAGTCAAAGACGGCACATTAGCAGATCTCAAACCAGTAAGTTATTTGTAATTCAGCAGCAGGAAGTTATGCATGTGTACGTGTAACAGGAGAGGAAATTTACCTCCTGCCTTCCCCCTCTTTCTGTGCCTTCCAGGTAAAGCAATCACTATTTGACAGCACAGGCTATCCAAGGAAACATTTAATCTAAGACACTGAGTACTTCTAAGTTCTGTTATTACACATTCCTGTTCTGTAACATCTCCCAGAAGGGGCTGGTTTGTGTACAATCCCAGATGTTAAACAGCTGATCTGCAGGTGGAGGAATCTATCTTCTCTCTAATTTTTGGATTAATAAAAGAAAACCACACAACAGAGCAATAAAACACTTACCTGCATGTTCAGAGGCATGTGTTCCTGGTGTTATATGAACATCCATCTTAAAAAGTATGGAGAAAGAAAAAGGAGACAAGTCAACAAAACACCGGAAGCTCAAAGTATTTAATTAAGAAAACAGCAAAACAAAGCAACAACAACAGACATTTCTGGCATGGACAGATGCTGTACCAGCAAGAATAAAACCAAGTCCAAAAGAACACCACATTTCCACCTGCATAAGCCTCCTTCAGGCAGAGGGCTAAAGCACTGCCATTTCCTTCTGTGCCCTCATGCCTTCACACCACAACCCCAATCAGCTGCGATGCCACCAGCAGAGAACTGCAGCTCTGCTCTGCTAGTTTAGTTCCTTCCTCAGCCTGGAGCGTTTCCCTCCTCCATAACGTGGAGCAAAAAGTTTTAGTTGCTTTTGAACACCATCCGTCTCTTCTGCTTTCCAGAGTGACTTTACTACTCACCTTAAACCTCTCAGGCAGTGATCTGATCAGTTTCACTTTTATGGACAGGCCGATTAGCGTTGCCATGCTGCAGTGTGGGATGGTGGGTGTGAACTCCACTGCCACGGTGCTCTCGGCATCGTTCACCTGTTGGAAAACAAACCAACAGGTTTGTTGCTGTGCCCTGCCTGCAGCACACCATGCACAGCACTGCTCGGGTTTTCTTTGCTGAGGACTTAAAGCACTATGTTTAAATGCAGTAAATTCACATAATACACGTCTTCTCACGGTTAAAAAAAAAAAAAAAAAAAAAAGTAATGAACAAACAAGGAGGAAAAACAACAACAGCAAAAATAAGACAGTCTCACTTTAACTCGAACTTGCTCGACGACATTCAGCTCCTCCAGGGTCAGGGGATGCTCGGGGTCGTTAATGGAGCGGATGAGATGTGCGGCGTTAAGGAAAGCGGGACGGAGGCCGCCCCCCCTCACCCCCGCCCGCCCTCCCAGCCGGCAGGATATCGAAGATCTCGCGGTCGTCGATGGAGTCGGGCAGCTCGTCGTCCTCCTCCCGCGCCGTCACGGGCCGCTCCCCCGAGCGGCGGTAGATGAGCGGGTTGGCGTTCTCCAGCGGCACGCCGCCGCCCGGGCCCACCATGGCTGCGTTGCCGGCGGGGCGGAAGGAGCCCGGACGCAATTCGCCGCCGGACCGGGCGGGGAGCTTTGGTGCGGAGTGCTCCCCCGTGGGCGAGCGGTGGAACGGCATCGAAGCCTTGCGCAGCCGTGCGGAGGGCTGGCGTGTCGGCGCGGAGCTGAGCCCGGCAGGGGGAGGAGCTGTGCGGGGACGTGGTGCGGGGCTCTGAGGAGTTCGGTGCTGGGGAGAGTTGGGTCATGTTTTGCTTAAAGCAATGTCTTTCGTCTTTGAGTTAATTTGAAAAATTAAACTGCGTGTAAAAAAAAAAAAAAAAATCACGTTGTTACAGTAAGTGGAGCGATCGGGGCTGTAGCGATGTTTTACAGCGCAGCTTCATTCACCACTTGGTCTTAGGAGTTAGGCATTGACTTCTGTGTAAACACGCAGTATCTTGCTTCAGCTTCTCAGCCATATATTTGATTACTTATCACAAAAGAAAAGATTTGTTATCACAAAAAAGAAACGATTGGTTTTTGTTGTTATCTCTCGAGTGACAGCTGCTGGCTGCCTCGAGGTACGGTTATGGATAATGAAACACCGGTCGCCCGAGCCGCCCTGCTGGCAGCCGGAAGAAATAAAAGCTTTACTCCTGTGTTACTCGCGACAGACGTTTGTGTAAGCAGCTCCGGCGCAGCTGTGCCCGCGCACTGGGCAGCCGTTTGATCCCTGTCGCTGCTGCTGGATGCGGGTTGTGCACCAGGAGCTTTTCTGTGTGTGACTTGTAACGGTTGGCTCTGAATGGAACGGCAGCTTCAGTGCTCTTTCTGTTGGTATTGTTGCCGTGATAAACAGTTCTTTCAATTCAGAGCACTAATAAAAGTGAAAAAATGTTTATTTTCTTAGATCACTAAAAATTAAATAGCAATCTATCTACTTGCTAATATGTCTGATACTGATTTTGTTCACAGAGAAGAGGGAGAAAAAGGATAAGGAGGTGATGACTCAAGCTGATGAGGTGAGTGAGGGCTGATAAGGTGGGATAGCCTAGAGCTCATTTGAGCTGATAGGTCTCACTTCCTGTTTTGATATTTTGAGGAGGAACTATTTACAGTGAAAAAATGATGTATTACCCATCTGTTATGGAGAAGATGGCTCTGCAGCGTC